CATAGGCGTGAAAGCCCACAGAAATCTGTCCCCAAACTTGGATGAAATAGAATTTATCCACTTCTGTAGTCATAGATGTAATGTTATGCATATATGTTGCTTGCTCAAATATTCCTTTGTAAAATGGGCTTCTGAACATTCAATTTCTTAAAATGCAGATGAAATCCATATTTGCCTCACAGATACTTTTTAAAGCAGGTTTGATTGCTTTGCTCAATTTGGAATTGGATGAATGACTCTTTGCTATGGATTCTGCCTCAGAATTACTTTGAAATACAGTATTATATATGTGGGAAACATAGGGACTTTTAACCTGTTTTTAAGGATTCATCTTCAGTTTGGCCAACCTTTTTTTCAGACCTGTTTTCTCTATGTCATGTGGAATGTTTTCTAACAGGAGTTTTATATATCACTTCCAATTCCCACTTCTCCCTTAGGTATTAACATTCAATGCCTCTAATTTTAAAAAATAATTATTCATGTCCAATAGTTTAAAAATAACCTTGTGGGGTGTGGGGAAAAAATAAAAATAAAAATAACCTTGTGGGAGCACATTACCACTGTGAACAATAAATACACCGTGTATGTAAACCCAAGTACTGTTCCCCTAGTGCTGGGTTCAAGGTCAGTACCACCAATCCTGCTGCCTCATCATCTCAGACTAGGATAAAATGCATCCAGGCTGCAGTACAGTGTTTGATGATGGTGGCTGAGTTTCAAATACCAGTGCCCAACTCTAGAAATAGCAGGCTAGTAAGACTGGTGTTGAGACTGCTCAGCAGAAGCCAGTCTGTTCCCATGAAACTCAATTCTACAGAGCAAAATACAAACTTGCACTTCAAAGGTCTACAAATGAGTTTCTGGTTCAATGTGCCAGGGTACGGTGACAGATATGCCCAAGCTCACTTTCTTAGAGGGACAAACAACTGGATGAATGAATGTCCAATAAAGACAGGAGACTGAGCACTGGAGAAAGCCGAAGCTTTTTCCCTTCCAGGAGGGTGGGGCTGTAAGACTGCAAGTTCAAGTTCAGTAAACTGTCTCTGGGTTGGTTGCTTTGGAGTTTGTTTTTGTTTGGTTGGTTTGGGTTTGGGTTTTTTATTTGGTTTGGGTTTTGTTATTTGTTTTGGTTTTCTTTCTTTGTTGTTGCCGATGTTCAGACAGGGTTTCTCTGTTAATAGTCCTAGCCTAGAACTCTGAAATCTGCCTGCCTGCTGCCTCTGGGATTAAAACCATATACCACAGCTGGGAAGTGGCAGGCGGAACTCTATGAGTTCGAGGCCAGACTGATCTACAGAGTTCCAGGATAGGCTCCAAAGCTACAAAGAAACCCTGTCCCAAAAACCAAAACCAAACAGTCGGGCAGTGGTGGCACACGCCTTTAATCCCAGCACTGGGAAGGCAGAGGCAGACAGATCTCTGTGAGTTCCAGGCCAGCCTAGTCTACAAGAGCTAGTTCCAGGACAGCTTCCAAAGCCACAGAGAAACCCTGTCTAGAGAAAAAAAAAAAAAAAAAAAGTGGACCACTGTGCCCAGCGTGGTTGGACGTTTTATAGAACCCTTGGGTCCTTCCTTTTCCAGTTATTCCTGTTTTGATCCGTACTGCCAGTCCATGCCTTCCCACCATTTTGTTCTTGCAGTGTCCTCTGGGAATAAGCAATGGCCATCTCACTTTCTTTGTCCCCTATGTCACTCTAACTCTTCCTCAAAACATCTGCCTAAATGGACCAAAAGGAAACCACTTTGCTTCATTATAAATACTGCTGGTTGGAAGGGCAGCGTTTTCCTTTTTATATGTATGGGTGTTTTGTGTTCATGTATATCTTGCATCACTTGCCTGCCTGTTCTCTTGTATCTTCAGAGGCCAGGAATCCCCTGGTATTGGAATTACAGATAGTTATTAGCTGTCATGTGGCTGCCAGTGCTCTTACCCACAGAGTCACCTCTCCATCTCCTGCTGTTAATCTTTTGGCCAGCCCTGACCTAGATGCAAATGAAGGAATGCTTGAAACTGCAGCCATAAACAGAGACATGGATACAATATGGAGTTGTTAGACTCCCAAAGCGCAGCCAGGCGGTGGCAATGCACGCCTTTAATCCCAGCACTCGGGAGGCAGAGGAGGCAGGCGATCTCCGTGAGTTCAAGGCCAGTTCCAAGACAAAGCAAGTTCCAAGACAGCAAGGGCTGTTACACAGAGAAACCCTGTCTAGGGGGGAAAAAAAAACCTCCCAAAGCCCACCTTCAGTGACATAATTCCTTCAACAGGCAGTACCTCCTAAACCTCCCCCAAACACCAACCGGGAACCAAGAGTTCAAACATCTGACCATACAAAATACATTTTCACTCAAACTACTATACTGCCCTAACAAATTAACACAAGTCTAGCTTATCAGACAATACAATGTTAATCTTAATTCTGTAAAGGACAGGTCTAGTAGGTTCTACTGCTTTCTCTACTATAAACCAAGTCTCCAGGCACTGGGGGTAGCTTGCAGGCTCTTTAAGTTGCTGGTAGAATTGCCTTATGCATCCAATTGTAGACCTAAGTTTTATTTTGTTGGTTTTTTGTTTTTTGTTTGTTTGTTTTGAGTGTAGGAGCTCTGGTCAGCTCTGAGAGGCCTCTCTCCAGCCCTGCTTTTCACCTTGGAGTGAGCTTAGAATCTGACTACCTCTTTTCACCAGCCAGGAAACATCTTCTGCTTTAAGGACTCATGCAACTAGTTTGAGATTATACAATTCAGGAAGAGTTAGGTCTACAACTATACTGTATCTGCAAAGCCCCTTTCCAGCAGTTCCTAGAGATCAGTGTTGCAATGATCAGGGGTCAGGATCTTGGCATCTCATTTTCAGAATTCTGTCCACTGTTCTTACTATACTGGAAATATTTATTTGTGAGACCGTCTATTTAGCTCTGACTGGCCTGGCACCCACTATGGCCATCAGGGTAGCATCTAAGTCATAGAGATCTGCCTACTTCTGCCTCCAGGGTAATGCTAGAATAAAAAGGCCTATGACGTCATGTATGGCCATTGAAAACGTTTTTGTTACACCTTGGAAAAGATAGAAGACCAAAGGGATGGAACAAAGTAGGGAAGAATAAATGCCCAGATAGGAAGGAATTGGGGTTTTATTTTCATTTCAATGGAAAACCACTGAAGGGTTTTCTCATAGGGAACACAAACTAAACTAATTTATACTTTAAAATGAAGTAGGGAAAACCCCCTTACAAATGTGTTTCATTTGCTCAGCTGAGTGAATGGATGCTAACTGTGGGGTGAATATGATGATCTCTTCTGTGGGCCCAAGTGACTGCCCATGTGTGCTAGTGAGAGGGATATGGAGAAAAGACTTCTCTTCAGACTGTAGGTAGTTAGGCCTTAAAATGAGTAAGTAGGCAAAAAGTTACAAAGGAAAACAGAACTAAGCTCTAAGTACCCTGACAGTCACCGCTTCATCAGGTAGGATGTAAAGTGGCAACATGAACTCACTTCAGCTGACACAGCTCACAAAAGCCAGACCACTGCCAAACACTCTGATGTGGGGAGATCCACTTCCTAGTGGGTCCAAGTGGGACACGAGCTGCAGAACCTTGTCTAATTCCTTCATGAAAGACTGCTCCTGGCCCACAGCCTGCTCTGCTGCCTAAGCAACAGTTGATGATCAGGTCCTGCAAAGACCAATCGCAGCTGACCTTCCCACAGGTAGACACAAGTACAGCCAGGAACACCAACAATCCAACATGTGAACACCCAGGATGTGCTATTTGGAAGGACCAATCTTTCTTCCCTTTTCCAGTACTGCAACAACTTACGCTCATCTTTCCATTCTGTGGGCTGCCCATCCAAAATTTCCTCTACTGCACTAAAGCTTTTGTTTCATTAAATCCCATGTATTGTTTGTTACTCTTATTCCCTATGCTACTGGAAATTTCATTCAGAAAATCCTTACCTGTGCTTATAAATTGAAGCATATGCCTATTTTTCCCTAGCAGTCTCTGGGTCTCGGGTCTAACATTGTCCTTGATCCATTTACAGTAGTGTGCATAGTGAAAAGAAAAGGATCCTCTTCATGTGGCTATCAGTTTTCCTCATCAGTTGTTTCAGAAGGTTCTGTTCAAGGTGATTTGGCAGCATAGCCTGTGGCAAGGGAGTCTGCACTTCACAGATAGAAACCAAGAGCCTAACACAAGACTTAGTCTCTAAGGATATAACCCCAATGACTTTCTTATTATAAATAAGGCTTACCTCATAAAAGTTCTAGAACCTTTCAAAATAGCACAACTATCTTGGAGCCAATAACTAAACATATGAGCCTGTAAGGGGCATTTCATATGCAAATCCTAACATGAATAAAGTATTGGATATTAGTAGATATTTTAAGATGTTAGAAAACAAAAACTAACTCTAATCCCAGCACTTGGGAGGCAGAGGCAGGCAGATCTCTGTGAGTTTGAGGCCAGCCTGGTCTACAGAGTGAGTTCCAGGACAGCTTCCAAAGCAATACAGAGAAATCCTGTCTCCAAAAACCAAAAAAAAGTCTGTAATTTTTTTGCCTGCATGTGTGCATGGTGCCAGCTGAAGTCAAAAGAGGGCACTTAGCCCTAAAATCTGGAGTTACAGATGGCTGTGAGCCACCATGAAGTACAAACTTTCTAAACTCACTCACTAAAAGTGTTTCAAATTCTATTTCAAGCTGTCGTGACCACACGAGAAAAATATCAACTTCCGTGTTAATTAATTATAGCCCGTCTATACCATGGATTCCCAAACAGTGTGTAAAGGAAGATAACGGTAGACAAGTATGACAGCGAGCAAAGTGATGCCACACTTGAAAGAAACTAGCTAACTGGAAGAACAAGGCAGGGAGACTGTTTCATGCCAACACAGCTACATACCAGCTGTAGGGAGAAAATGTAAAACAGACTACAAAAGGAAATACATAGTAAAATCACAGCACTGTATAAGACAAAATAATTTGAAAGAAATGTCCCCCTCAAAGTGGTAATAAACCAACAATACATTTTATTCTTCTTGCTTCTGTCTTCCGAAGTTTCTACAATAAACATGTTTTACAAAACAAAATGATACAATTTTAAAACATTTAGTTTTGAAAGAGGGTGAAATAATAGGTTTTGAAGTGGTATCAGATGAAATATTAATGGAAAACATGCCAGACCCCTAGAGAAAAACACACATCTTCTGTTTGGAGTGGAGATACTACATCCCTGATGCCAGATTACATCTTGCTATTTCTAAACATGTTTTTATCAGTTAATTTGATAGGAAAAAAAAACAACCCACAAAACAGGTTAGAAACCAATACAGATTACTGTGGCTTAGTTTCTGGTGCCTCTGGTAGGATCTTAACTCTATCTAAACCAAGTAAGCAATGCTGTTTCAAATGTAAGCCAAACTACACTAGCCAAGTTTATTATTAAAAACTAAAGCTCTAGTTTGAACTCATAAATAAAAGGTCATTCTATTTCAATGAAATGAGCTTATATGTCACATAATAACTGGGAGACATATACAACATTCTAATATATCAATCAGTAGTTAAGCTGTTATCATTCCAATCTGAGGCATAGAATTCAGGATATACTCCACAATACAAGTAGCACACTCCAAGCTTCCTATGCTAAGGGTAAAAGGACTGTTACTATTAGATACCAGCTTCTCCTTTCAATCGCTGTGTTCATTTTCCACAACCAAATGTTTCATTCCAGTTTTCATAAAGCTCTAAGTCTTTTGGAGACACACTAGGTCGCACAGTTCTAAAAGCATTTTCAAAATCAATATAAGCTATTGGTCGAACTTGATCTGGGCTTATGGTAGCGATGTCAGCAGTGTGCAAACTGCGAATAGGACCAAGAGAAGCCTCTCTGCAAAGCTGTGTCATATCTGCTCCAGAAAACCCATCAGACTGCTGCACCACCAGTTCAATTTCTTCATCACTGAGGCAAGATGGTTCCTTGGACATGAGATTAACTACTATCTGTTTCCTGGCTGAAGCTTCTGGAAGGGGAATATAAAGTCTTTTCACCAATCTTCTCCGGGCAGCCTCATCAATCTCTTGGGGCCGATTTGTTGCTCCCACCACTAGAATACGGTCTTCAGAAGATGTGGTTGCTCCATCTAACTGAACTAAAAATTCTGTTTTTATTCTTCTAGAAGATTCATGTTCACCATCTCCTCTTTGAGACAATAAAGAATCAATTTCATCAATAAATATCACAGCTGGCTGCTGACACCTTGCAACAGCAAACAACGCACGGACCATTTTCTCCCCCTCACCTACCCACTTAGAAGTCAAAGATGAAGCAGAGATGCTGAAGAATGTTGCTCCAGACTGACTAGCAATGCACTTGCCAATCAGAGTTTTACCAGTCCCTGGAGGGCCAAAGAGCAGAATTCCTTTAGGGGGCCCTCGTAATCCAGTAAAGATATCTGGCCTCATCATGGGCCATACAACAATTTCCTTTATTGTGGTTTTGGCATATTCTACTCCGGCAATATCTTCCCAATGTACTGGAGGCCCATGGTCCATAATTTCATTCCTAATAAGTTCAATCATCTTTGGCTCCACATTCTTCAGGTGGTCATCAACAGGGTGTGCCGTTTCTGTGGACTCTGCCCTCATAGGCTTGCACTTAGCTCTTTCACCCTGCTCATCTCCATCTTCCTTAGATACAGGAGGAACAAACTTCCCAGATACTCCTCTCCATTTCCCCGCTCCCAAAGACTTTTTTACACCACCATATGAAGATTTTGATACATGCTGGGATTGGTGGCACTTTTTTTTTTGATCTGCCCATAACTGTTCTTTTGCAGTTTTAAAGGTAGGCAGACTATTATCTTCCCTTTGGTCACTGTCTTCTGTTTTACTAGAAGCCTTATTCAGTATTGGATCAGGAAGCATGTCAATGGTGCCAGAGCCATAAAAAACCTTCCTTTCTCGGGGATTTTCACAGTCAGCAGGAAAAGAAGACAGACTGGATAAGAACTTATTTGGTCCTGTGCTGGTTTTAGGAAAGCTGTGAGTTTCCTTTTTGGTATTTCCAAATAGTGGTGTAGTGTGAAATGTTCCAGTGGCTGACTCACCTAAAGGTGTTGAGGAGGTGGGACAAGTCTTAGTGGTATTAGTTGCCGTAGGCTGCAAAGCACTCTGAAACTTCGAATGTCCCAGACTGCTGCCTGAGATGGCTTGGGTCCTATCTGTGTCATAAACTGAACCAGGTAAGAAGTCACGCTCTCCAGAGCCTCCACAAACATTAAATTTAGGAAGCTCAGAGACAGTGGGCTCTTTACCAATAACTACAGATGCATCAGCAGGTTTCAACAAAGACTCTTTCCACTTCTTCCCAGCTAGCATCATCTCCTGTACCTTACTCATTTTGAAAACATTATTTATTGACAACCCAGACTGCCACTTGCTACTGTCAGCCTGTTGAGATCCTGCCAAAGCTAAAATGCTCTCTGCATAGTTATTCAAGCCAGTTTCAACATTGTCAGAATCAATAATTGCAGAATAGTTTTCTGTATACCTTTTGAACAGTTTGGTAGCACAGACCTGAGAGATCTCGGAGTTGGCACATGCATACTGAATGCGTAGTATCTGTTCACGGTATGCATCTGCCTTCTGTCCTGGTGTACATGTACTGGATGTAACTACGAGGTAGTTCTTCTGCCATTCGCCCAGGTGCACAGACCTAGGGCTGGAAGTCTCCATGTCACAAGTTCTATAACACAAGACAAAATTGAACACAAATCAGTATAAAGAAGAAAACAAGAGTATAAAACTCTCTGCTAAAAAAAGTACACTCAATTTATTTACAAGGTTCATTTATAAGGACATATTTATTTGTAAAAGAAATATATGCTTAATCATATATTTCAAGTACTCATGACAAAGATACACTGATAACGGTTTTTAAGATTAAAATAATTTTTCTACAAAGAAAATATTCATGAGTTTAAGCAAAAAGGATTTAAAAGAAACCAAAGAAAGGGGTTGGGACAAGTGACTCAGATGGCAGAGGGCTTACTACTGTTCCTGAATCATTGTGCTTGATCCCCAGTAAACATATACTGGGTAAAACTATGCATGCTTACACTCCTAGCATTTGGGCAACGGATTCAGCAAGATAAGTTCAAGGTCACCACCCTCAACTACAAAGCCAATCCAAAAGTTTTTTTTATAAACAACTTAAAGACAGGAAAGAGTTAAGTGATGAGTGACAGAAGAAAATACCCAATATTAACCTCTGGCTTCCACAAACATATGTGCACACACACAAGAATATGCACAGAAAGATTTAAAATCAATCAGTGGTTCAATATCCCACTCTCATGGGATAGGTCATCTGAACAAAATCAAAGAAACTTCAGAGTCAACCTACACCAGAGAAGAAATGGACTCAACAGATACTTACAGGCTGCACCCAACAGGAAAAAACGAATTCTTCTCAGGAGCCAGTGGAATCTTCTCTGACATAGGACAATTTCTAATTTTAGGACATTTATCAAGGCTTATTAAATACAAAAGAATCAAAATAATCTCTTGTGGAGTTAAGGAGATAGTTCCTCAAACACTGTTCACTTGGTTTTTTGAGACAAGGTTTCTCAAAAGAGCTCACCAAGTAGGTTACTGACTTTTGGACAGTAAGCCCCAAGGACCAGGCTGTCTCTGTCTCCCCAGCATGGTTACAAGTACCTGCCACCAAGCCCAGTTTTCTTATGTACACTCTGGGGATCAAACTTGGGTTTTCCTGTTTGTATAGCACACACTTCACTGAGAATAGGCTATTGCCCCAGACCAGAATTACAAGATCCTACATAAACTTGAAGGAGGCTGGAGAGATGGCTAGCAGTTAAGAGCACTTGCTGCTCTTATAGGGGCAACTCACAACCACCTGCAACTCCAGCTACAGAGGCTCTAACACACACACACACACACACACACACACACACACACACACACACACACACACACCCCTTCCTAATATATAAAGACCTGAAAAAAAAAACCCAATCTTATACACACACACACACACACACACACACACACACACACTCGCCCCCCCCCTTTCTGGAAAAAAAAGAAAAACTGAAAAAACCAACCTCTAACTTCCAGCAGGGTGGTAGTGGCGCACGCCTTTAATCCCAGCACTCGGGAGGCAGAGGTCTACTACAAGAGCTAGTTCCAAGACAGCCTCCAAAGTCACAGAGAAACCCTGTCTCAAAAGACCAAAAACAACAACAAAAACTAACTTCCAATCTTCCAATCGAAAAATGTGGACAGATCTCAAAAATAAATACCAACAGCCAATAAATATTTACACAAATGTTCAACATTCTTAGGCATCAGGGAAAAGCAAATTAAAACTGTCTTGAGTTCATCTCCCAGTCAGAATAGTTGTCATCAACAAAACAAAGGACAGAAAATGCTGTCAAGCATGTAGGGAAAGAGAAACCCTTACCTGCTGATGGTGGGGATGCTAATTTGTGCAGTCACTATAAAAATCAACATAAATGCTGTGCAGAAGACTGAATACTGTATTCTCAGGTATATACTCTAAGAATTCTAAGTCCACACACCACAAAGATGCTACTGCATCCATGTTTATAGCTATACTACTTACGGCATCCAGGAAACTGAACAGCCTAGACATCCATCCACATATGAATGGAGATCTATGCTGCCATAAAGAAAAATGAAATCCTGGCTTTTGCAGATAAACTGAAATCAATTAAAAATCATATGTTACATAAAATAAGTCAGACTCAGAAAGACAAATACCTCTTTTTCTCTTAAATGCAGAACCAGATTTAGAAACTGTGTGTGTGTGTGTGTGTGTGTGTGTGTGTGTGTGTGTGTGTGTGTGTGTGTGCGCGTGCGTGTGCATGCATTTACATGCGTATTTGTAGATCAGGTGAACCTGCTGTAAAATTTAGAAACTGCAGCTGAAAGAGTTAAAGAACTTACCAGAGAGAGCTCTGCTGACTATGAGCACCGTGAGATTTTAAGTACCAGTTCCACGTGAGAAACCATGTACTTTACCATGGATCCAATACTTCTTGATGCTATCAGCACAGATTGAGCTGCATGGAACACAATATGAATGATGACATACTTAATATTTTAATGATTTATCATGTATAAACACTTGAAACATGATGCCACAAACCTTCCAAACTTTCCCCATTTCTCACAGTGTTAATATTTAAAATTTATGCTGGGTACTGGTGGCGCATGTCTTTAATCCCAACACTCAAGAGACAGGGGCAGGCGAATCTCTAAGAGTCTGAGGCCAGCCTGGTCTACAGCGTGAGTTCCAGAACCTCAAGGGCAACAGAGAAACCCTGTCTTGGAAAAAAAAATTAAAACTTATGAAAGATGAACTGCAAGAACAAGTCAAATAGTCAACTAGTAGTTTTCCATCAGTTTTTCTTCAAGATGGTCCCATAAACCCTTCACATTTCTAAAAAGAATCTTAGAAAAATACACAATTGGGCCAGACAGATGTAGCACAACAAGGCACATCCTCTCAAGCCTGCCAACCTAAGTTCTCAAGACCTACAAGGTTCCTGAAAGTAGCCCCCTGCCATGCATATGCACAACTTGGCACAATTGTACCCCATTCATCACTAAATAATGTAAAAACTATTTCTGCAATGTAGAATTTGACTGCATACTAGATAAAAATATTTAAGGAGGCTGGAGAGATGGCTTCGAGGTTAAGAGCACTGGCTGCTCTTCCAGAGGTCCTAATTTTAATTCCTAGCAACCACATGGTGGCTCACAGCCATCTATAATAAGATATGGTGCCTTCTTCTGTGTGCAGGCATACATGCTGGCGAAACACTGTATACATAATAATAAATCTAAAAAAATGTTTAAGAAAACCTTTTAGTTTCCAAAGAAGCATTACAATAAAGTAAAAAGATCATCTACATTTTAAATTTACTTCCAATTTATCTGGAAGTATAATTTAATAACCAATACATTTTATGTGTGTGCTATATTCAATATAGCTTTTTGGGGGGAAGGGAAGGCAGCTGAGATAGGGCTTCTCTGGCTGTCTCTAGAACTCTGTAGACTAGCTGGCCTTGAACTCAGAAACTTGTCTGTCTCTGCCTCCCAAGTGCTGGGACTAAAGAAAGGCATGAGCCACCACCACCTGGCTTAATATAGTTTATGTTCAACAGTGCTGTGGAAAGAATGTACCACATTATAGGTAGTTGGAGCACGTGTCTTAAACTACTACATAAATTATTTGCTTATAATAATAGGACGCTTAACAGCTAGTGAAACTGTAACTTAAATTTGAACTAGTATCAAAACTAGATCAACAACTCTGGGGCAAGTGTCCTTGCTTTCATCTGCTTTAACCCTATTTTAATCTCCAGTATACAACAAGAAACTTACGGGGAGGTGACTTGGAAAATATCAATACTAAAATCACCATTTCTAGTTATTGATCTCAAAATTATCCCCTTCCACCACATTCTTTTTAATCAATATTCACCTCCCAAGTTTTACCTCTTTTCCACTGAGTCATATCCTACAACCAGACACAGACAACCAAAAACTGTCACCACAGCTCAATGACACAGGTACTCAAATGTTTACTACTTCCAAGTCATTGCAGCCTTTCTGGTCTTGATAAAAATCTATAAATTATGGTTAATGAGTATGGGCATCACAGTTACATTTCGATCTTAACTTTAATTTTCTGATTAAGCAAGTTACTTGCTGTTGAAACTCGTTGGCTTCTGCACACAAGAACTATTTTTCATTGCATTTAGATTTTCTTCAGTGCCGAGACTATGGTACCACTAATATAATAATGATTAAAAAAAACTAGAGTGCCTACTATAGTTTTCAACCTGTAAACTCTTAATTTATTAGTGGAAAAGTAACATAGGAATTTAGACCACAGGATGATTCTGGACATAAAAGTTTTATTTTTATTTAATTAATTGTATCTAATGGGGAAGGGTCCCAGACTAATCTGAAGGCAGCTTGTAAGAACTGTTTCCTCTTTTCACACATGGGTCCCCAACCTCAAAAGCTTTTACCGGCTAAGCTATTTCCCAGCTAAGCCATTTTCCAGGCACTGTGGTTGCAGGATGTGTCCTTTCGGCAGTGACTTGGAGCACGTGTCTTAAACTACGTCTGTTTTCACCTGGGGGGGGGGGAAGAAAAGGGCAGCGTGAAACATTTATAGCTGACAGGTTTTTACAATCACTGAGAGTCCCCAAAACCTGGAAATGCCGGGTGAGAGACGGCGAGTTACTTATGATCCCTTCCCTCTGGAAGGTTCCACGGCCTTCGAACCCGCTCCCCAACCACAACTGACAGACGCGCCCACCCCAAACGCCTGGGGCGGGTCTGACTCCCACTCACGTGTGAGTTGTGGCGGGCTCCACCGTACACACGAGGCTCGCCAACGCTTAACGTACGCCGCAGCCGCACAGCCGGGGGTCAGCGGGGTTGAACGGAGGACGGCGGGGCGAGCGTCCTCGACGCGGACCCTGCCCTGGGGCGCTCCGTCGGGGCTCAGGGAGGAGCCGGCGGGGGACTTACACCGCGCGGGGAGTCCACCCGCGGCGTCAGCGCGAGGCGCCGCTCCGTCCGGCCGTCCTCGCCGTCGCGGCCGCGCGAGGCCTCCCGCGGCCACCCCGCGGGCCACCCGGGTCAAGAGAACCGCCCCCGGGGGAGAGCGCCCCGAGCCTCGGCCCGAACGCAGGAGACCAGGCGCCCAGCGAGGCCGCCACCGAGCGGCCGGCCCCAACCAAAACGCGCGCCCTCCGCAGCGCGCCTGCGCGGGGCGGGGCGCGCGCCTGCGCGGGGCGGGGGGCGGGACTCGGCGCCGGGCGGGAGGGCGGGGCCGCGCAAGGTCTGGCGGTGGCGGCCGCCGCGGCTCGGAAGCGGGAATTCCGAGTTCCCGCCCGAGCCCGGTGAGGGAGCCTGCCCCCCGCGCCGTGGAGACAGCCTTTCCTAAGCGAGCAGCCTGGCTCCCGACCCACGTCAGGCTTATTGTCGTTCTTTTGCGGTGCTGGACGCCGCGGAAGGGACTGAGGCAGTGAGGGGGGGCGCCTCCCGGTCCCCCCACCCCGACTCCTGAGCCTGCGGGCCCCCGAGCTCTTGGGGCCCTAGCAGCCGTCAGACAAGGAAGTCTCGAATTCAGGCGGCTGTGGTAAAGACGGCAGCCGCCACCAGACGTGGTACCAGAGCTACCAGAGCTACCAAAGCAGTAGCTGGCGGGGATCCAATGTAAACTGAGTCACTTTACGGTTGCTACCCATCGTAGGTAGCTAAATCGATATTGACGAGCTTGGCAGTCACTGAGGGACCTCCCCCCCCCCCTCATAAACAGCTTTGGACCCCCACCTCCCGTCTCCCTATTACCAGCTAAAACATCTTGCAATTTGGGTGAGGTCACTGAGGATTAGGTTCTTAATTGATTGTTTAGGGCATAAGCCACTGGGTCAGGCTCCAAGCAGTCGCGAGCTGATTGTCAGAGGGGGCGGGGTGTGCTTTTTATTTTTGTGTCTTTGTCTACAACCCTCATGGCCTAAGCCTGCCTGTTTTCACTGAGACTTACCTTCTCTTTCCTTCATTCTGTCTCCCTCTTCAGATACTGACCAAAATGCTAACCCCGCTCAGGCATTTTCACTGTGAAGACCTTCTCTCCCGAAGGCCTGCATCGCTGAGCCTGCCTGCTTTTCGGACTTCCAACTACTAAAGCAACCCCTTCTCCTTTCTTCTTACCCCTCTCCCTCCTCCCAGAGGCTGCCAAGAAGTCTAGCTCGCCTTGTTTTTTCCCCCAAACTCAAAATTGTCTTCCAGTTTCCTCCTGAGTCTGTTTTTAAATTCTTTTGTCTATTGGACCAGGAACCCTGCAAAAGGCAACATGATTCCCCGGTGCAATTTAAACCCTTAAGCTATGTAAAGACTTCCATCTTTTAAAAATTGACTTTGTTAAAAATAAATAATTTTTTTAAATTGGCGTTGTTAGAATGACACAACCCAATACATAGTGTGGACAAGGTTAAGGCTTAGGCCATGCAAGTAGTAAATTTGCTGTCTGAGAACACAAACTGCTTGATAGACTCTTTCTCATGGGTGGAAGTTGTTGGGCCTGCAATGAAATTGCCACTTAAGCAGACAGAAACAGTCCCCTTGGTGGGAGGGATTTTTCTTATTTATGCATCTATGAGTTTATAAACATAATCTCAGACAATGTCTGTGTATAGTTCCTTTAGCTAATGTGTCTTGAGCAGAGGGAGATGTTCCCAAATAGCATGTATCCTTCTGCCAGGAAGAATGTGTTTGGGGGCTAGAGAGATGTCTCAGCAAGAAGTGCTTACTGTGCAAGCCTGGTGGCCTTAGTTTGAGCTCCAGAAACGCAAAAGGAGAAACTGGCTCCACACAGTTGTCCTCTGACCTCTTGGCACATGCGGCTTTCCCACCCATCATACACAAACACACAGTAATAAACGTTTCTTTAAATATGTCTGTAGGCAGGGGAGAAGTACATGGTTGTAGAGAGAGGAAAAAATGGGACAAAAATTAAGTCTGTCTCTTTCTCTGAGATTTCCTGAGTGCAATTAGGTTTCTGTCAACTGCCACGGCTTTCTGCTCCCAGCCTACCTTGGTCAAAAGAGGCCCAATGAAGATTGAAGGTGTACCCAGCCATTCCTTGGATATAGTCTATGCCAGCCTAACATGAACAGAACACACAGTTCTAATGAAGTTTTAATTAGATGGTCTCCCCGCTACGACCAGAGGCAGAATTTTAACAAGTCTAATTTCTAATTACATTTTATTAGCCTTTGTATTCATGAACAGGGCAACCTCCACTCTACAAAATGGAATGAGCTTGTACTGGACAAAAGTGAAAGGGTAGTTTTGGAAAGCAGAGAGACGAGACTATTGGGTAGGAGCTGGCAGGTTGGTACCAGCTTACTTCCGGTCACGTAGGAGGTTGGAGCCGAAGGACGTACTCAAGCTGAGGCAGTTTGGGCTCTGGCTGCTGTGAATTCCCTGGTCCCTTTGTGCATCCCCCTGCTTCCTTCAGTATCCATTTGAGCATCCCCCTGCTTCCTTCAGTATCCCTTTGTGCATCCCCCTGCTTCCTTCAGTATCCATTTGAGCATCCCCCTGCTTCCTTCAGTATCCCTTTGTGCATCCCCCTGCTTCCTTCAGTATCCATTTGAGCTGGCTATGGGGTGCATACCTGTCCATTGCATGTCTGCTTTTGGGAACCATGGAAGTTTCTTTAAAATGGTCCTTCCTAATAGTCCCAGTATATGCAAGTAACTTACTCTCTTAGTATTTTCCTGTTATTTTTCCTTTTACTTATTACTAGGGTATGCTATGGCACACACAGAGAGGTACCCAGGGAACAGATTTTGATATCAAGGTGGTGAAAACTGTTAATATTTGGGAATTCATATTGTTCCTATAAAACAATAAAGCTATCCCTAGGCCAAAATGCTACCAGGCAAGTACCATGTTTCCTTAAATGTAACCTTTCTGGGTAAAATGCCAGTAAGACCATTTCCCAGTGTATACCATCAAGTGGATTCCCTAGTTAAAAGTTCAATCCTGCCTCCCCTTGGGGTCCGGTCCTTATCCCTTTCTCGTGTTCCCCTTAAGATGATGAGATGCCGCCTGGGACATCTCCCCGTCTTGCCTTGGGATTCTTTGCATGCTGACTGGTATGTGGTCAGCCTAACTAGGACCTCTGGTTCCTGGAAGTCTGCTTTTTGCTGCTTTCTAGACAAGAGAGTTTCCAGGATAAGTCTTTTGTCTGCTGTCTGCTGCGTCCAGATAAATCTAGGGCTTGCCCAACAGCAAGAGGAAGTGCCTGTAGCCAGCAAACACCAGAGGCCATCCAGGCAGCATCCAGTTCCAGCGCCACCAGGGGTCAGTGTGCTCTAGTTTGCTGCCGCATTGGGCACGGATTTAGATGGAGGTGCTACACAGTGACTGTGGACTAGTCTTAATCCAGGCATACTGGGTTCTTTCTTGTTTGTTTGTCTGCTTTGTTTTTTCAAGGCGCGATTTCTCTTTGTAACCCTGAGTGTCTTGAATTCAGAAATCTGACTACTTCTGCCTTCCAAGTGCTGGGATTAAAGGCGTGTGCCACCATCCCTGAATTCTATGTAGAAATTGTATAGTTGGGGTCAGAGACAAGATTCACTCAGGCAGATAAATATGGAGTTTGGCCCATAAGCACCAAATATACCTGCTTCTTCCACACAAGAAAACGTTGTCCTAGTTAGCTTTCTGCTGTCATAAATATGGTGATCAGAAGCATCTTGGGGAGGAGAGCGTTTATTTCGTCTTACAACTCACAGTCCATCACGAAGGAAATTCTAGCCAGGAACTCACAGCAAGAGCACAGAGGGGAACGGAGGCAGAGGCCATGGAGGAGCGCTGCTCACCGGCTTACTTTCATTGCTCACCCAGCTTGCTCTTTTGCACGGGCGAGCTGCCACACATAGCAGGCTGGGCCCTCCCACATCTAGCATCAATCAAGGGTATTCCGCACACACTTGCATACACGCAATCTAAGGAGCAAGTTTCTCAGTTGAGGGTCCCTCCTCCCAGGTGACTCTAGCTTGTGTCAACTTGACAAAGAACGAACCAGCACGGGGTTAACCCTGGGGATTCCAGGGCACAGGTGGCCACATAGTTTAACAGGAGAGAAGGTGGGTTCTAGAGCCTGACTGCCAGGGCAGCATCCATTGCTCAGGTGCCTGTTACTCTGTGACATTGAAGCATGTCATCAAACCTCCCAGTGCCTCAGTTTTCTCATCTGTAAAATGGGAGGTAGTAATACAGCTTATCTCATGGAATCTTAAGATAAGTATTAAATTGATAGTTTCAAATATGGGTGACAGCACCTGTCATAGAGTAAGTGCTGGTGTATAGTTTTGTCAGCAGGCAAGAGACTCTTCCTCCTATTTCTAGGCCTGAGCGCTTTGGAGTCTGAGCACCAAGCTGAAGAAATTCCTGGAGAGACCAGTGGAAGGGTGTATGGGTATCAACTTGACACAAACTACAGTCATTTGGGAAGAGGAAACCTCAAGAGAGAAAATGTTCGTACTAGACAGGCCTCTGGGACATTTTCTTGGTTGAAGACTGATATTGGAAGGCCTAAATCACTGTAGGCAATGCCACCCTTGGGCTGGTGGACCTTGTTACTGTAAGAAAACAAACTGAGCAAAGCCCTAAACCACATTACTTCCTCTTCATCAATCCCTGCCTTAAGTTACTTCCTTCGCTTCTTTCAGGGGCGGGCTTGCTTCCACAGCGTGAGTCAAATCAACCCTTTCCTCCTCAAGTTGCTGTTGGTCACGGTATTTTTATCACAGCAATAGAAGTTCTATTATGACATTGGACAAACTAAAAATGAGCCACAGTTAGCCAAGATTGCATCCCTCCTGCTTCTGGTCTTAGACCGTATTCCCTAAAGATTCAGACAGTTTTAGAAAGAAATGTTCCAGCCTTTCTGATAGCCCCTGCCTTCCATTTGTGCAATGTGTCCTATGGCACATGCCACCAAACCACTTTCTCATATTAAGGTCTCAACCATCTTGTCAGAGTTAAAGACCATGCTGAATGGAGCTCTTTCTGCAGCAGAAGATGGGATCATGTCAATGGCAGCAGGGACGCATCTTGGAGCCTTACAGCATACACACTGAGAAGTGAAAACCAATCTTTGTAAAATGTAGACACATTAACCTCAACTCAGTAACTTGAGTGTTTCATACTCTACTGGTCCTACCACAAGATGGTCTTGGAGGCCTCAATATACCATCCCTT